GGGACATCCTTTTAACTCTTCTCTGTTTTTACATTGCTGTCCCCTAGTCCTTTAGGGGTTGCAGGTAAGTGGCCAAAAACAAAGTGGTTAAAAGATGGACTGGTGAAAACTCATTATTTTTTATTCACTTTTTTTTTTTTGAGTGTGTGTACTCCTGGGGGGATATTGCCAACTGATTATCACATGCCTTTGTTTATTTAGATTTTGGGGGAGGTGCTAATTTTTATGAGCCTGAGAATTATTTTTAAGCATTAAAAAAACTTGTTAGATACTTTTTTAAAAAGATTTTTAAAATTTATTTATCTTTAGAGGGGGAAGGGAAGGAGAGAGGAAGAGAAATATCACTGTACAGTTGCCTTTTCTGCAATCCCTGCGGGGACCTGGCCTGCAACCCAGGCATGTGCCCTGACTGGGATCAAACCATGATTCTTTGGTTCGCAAGCCTGTACTCAATCCACTGAGGTACACCAGCCAGGGTTTGTTACATACTTTTTATCAGTTTTATTCGGTTGGGTTATTTTACTTCTAATTCATTTTCAACCAATTTTATTCTAATTCCTTTTTTAAAAAAATATTTTATTTCTTTATTTTTAGATAGAAAGAAGGAAAGGGGAAGAGAGGGAAAGAAACATGAATATGTGGTTGCCTTTTGCATGCCCCCAACTGGGGACCTGGCCCACAACCCAGGCATGTACCCTGACTGGGAATCGAACTGGCAACCCTTTGGTTCCTAGGCCAGCACTCAATCTATTGAGCTACACCAGCCAGAGCCAATTATGTTCTAATTATTTGGCAAGTTTTTTACCATTTGAAAGTTTGTAAGGGATTTGTCCAAAAGCAAGTTGGTTAAATATGGAAGATCTAGTTCACAACTGATAACTCCGATGTACTCTATGATCTTAAAAAGGTTTGTCCACTTTCCATATTGTGTTGACTTTTTAAATTAAAAACATTTTAAATGTATACACAAAGTTAACAAATTCTAAACAACAAAAAAGAAGTGTCCCTCCCATCTCCCAAAGGAAAGTCATTCCCGAGATTTGAGTACCCTCCAAGTGATCTGTGCATATCTAAGTATCTAGCTATCATTTTTCCATTTATTTATAATCCTCACCTGAGTACATATTTATTGATTTTAGAGAGGGAGGTGAGAAACATCAATCAGCTGCCTCCCACATGAGCCCCCAGAGGGAGTCAAACTGTCAACCTGGGGTTGTACCTACTATCTTTTAGCACAAGGGATGACATCCCAACCAACTGAGCCAGGGCCATTTCTATTTTTTAAACTTCAAAATTCATTTTTGACCAATGGTGCTTACTTTACCTATTAAACACATTTTACACCATTTTAAAAAATCTGTATAATTCATTTATAGTTAAGCAGTTTTCATAAAGCTTCCTTGAATAAAAAGCCTTCTGCAGGAATGGCAATGTTTAAGGGGACATACCTAAAAAGAACCCTAATTTAATATGTAAAACAAAGTTGAAAATATTTATCTAGATAATTTCTCACTAATTTAGATACTAATAATCAGTATCAAGTAGCACACTGATGTGTCTGAATCATTTAGTGTGTAGACTCCCAGATTAAAAACTTTCCCCAAAATGGCAACCTCATTAGGAAGCAGCGAGGTCGGGGAGCAAGAGCTTGTGATTGTATTAGCTCATGTTTGGTTGGTTATCATGCACCCAGTGCAGAACTGTGGTACTGCGGGCCAATATATTCTACATTTTGTAAGTAGATTTGGATGATAAACAAGTCAAATATACTATTAGATTGGTATTCTGATATCATGACTGGCAAAAAAGAACAGTACATTCCTTTAGTAAATCACTGAAGGCCATTTGTACCCTCAGTACACAAGTGACACACAACTGGACCACCTACTACTGTTTAGGCATAATTAATAATTATGTAAAAATAAAGTCAGCACAACACCCTGAAGATGTTCTCAACCCAGGACTTGAACAGGCTGCCCCATCAAGGTCAAGCCCACCAATGCTCAGTTGATAACATCACTCCAGGAAATGTATGAGAAGACAGAAAAAACCCACACTATTATTTATAGATCTTCTTGTCCAACCCTCCTCAGATCACTTCCTTGATATAAATGGTGAAAGAAAATGCTTTCCTCCTCAGATTTGGAACAAGAATAAAATAATCATATAGACAGAAACAACAGGCAACATCCCAAGAAGTCTCTAAAAAAGCTGTTAAACTTCTCTGTAAGAAGAGCATGAACCCTGGGACACAGGTCAATAGATAACACTACCTGATTCCAAAACTTACTATGATAGAGCCACATAATAAGGCGGTGTGGCACTAGCGTGAGGACTGACATACACATTAATTTAACAGTACTGAGTGTAGCCCTGGCTGGTTTAGCTCAGTAGATTGAGCGTGGGCCTGCGAACCAAAGGGTCGCTTGTTCAATCCTAGTCAGGGCACATGACTGGGTTGCAGGCCAGGTCCCCAGTGGAGGCCATATGAGAGGCAACCACTCATTAGCATTTCTCTCTTCTTTCTCCTTCCTTTTCCCTCTCTCCAGAAACAAATAAATAAAATCTTAAAAAAAAATAGTACTAAGTGTAGAAGTAGACCTCAAAATGTATGGTCACCTGACTTCTGATAAAGAAACCAAATAATCCAGTGGGGGAAATGATCATCTTTTCACTGAGTGGTGCTGTCACAGTTGACCACCCATTGAACCTTAACTCTTACACCTTACATAAAAATTAACTTGAGACTTCCGCCAAGATGGAGGCATAGGTGGAAACACTTTGCCTCCTCGCACAACCAAATCTAAAAACAACAAAGTTTTAACAACAATAAACACAGCCAAGCCACAGAAAATCGAACAATATGGTCTGAAAACAACGAACCGCTCAGCTAAACCAGTGAGAGGGGCAAAGCCAGCAGCAGAGTGGGCCAGGCAAAAAAGATCTCCCGACCCTGGCAGTGTGCAGGCAGCCGAGGGCATGATCCCAGGTGCGGGGTAGCTACAGGCAAACCCAGGGAAGGCGCAGGGAAGGCTGCAATCTCGCATTTGTGCGCAGATAAACCAGTGAAAAGATGAGCATTGAGACAGACCGAGCAGGCCCTGGCGCAGGGCGGCGGGTTGACTGCAGTCACACATTTGCGTGCAGATAAACAGGCAGGGGGCGAGCAGTGAGGCGGACAGGACAGGAGGGAGTAGAGAAGACCGCCACTGCTCCCTCTCTGACCCCGCCCCCACATACAGCATCACAAACCAGTGACCTGGGTGGCCCCGCCCTGTTAAACACCTAAGGTGCCTCTCCTCAAATGTAACAGGTGCGAACAGATCAAAACATGGCTCAAGAACAACTCAGAGCCCCAGAGCCGATAAATCTAAGTGATGAGAAATAGCCAAACTTTCAGATGCACAGTTCAAAACACTGGTGATCAGGATGCTCACAGAACTGGTTGATTTTAGCCACAAAATAGAGGAACATATGAAGGCTAAACTAATTGAAATGAAGGGAAATGCACAGGAAACCAATAGTGATGGGAAGGAAACTGGGAATCAAATCAAGGGAGTGGACCAGAAGGAAGGAAAAATTGACCAAACAAAAACATGAAGAAACAAGAATTAAAAAAACTGAGGAGAGGCTTAGGAACCTCCAGGACATCTTTAAATGCTCCAACATCCGAATTATAGGGGTACCAGACAGGGAAGAGGAACAGTCACGAGCGGAAACCTTATTCGAACAAATAATAAAGGAGAACTTCCCCATTCTGGCAAAGGAAATAGACTTCCAGGAAATCCAGGAAACTCAGAGGGTCCCAAAGAAGTTGGACCCAAGAAGGAATACACCAAGGCACATCATCATTATATTAGCCAAGATTAAAATGAAGGAGAGAATCCTAGAAGCAGCAAGAGATAAGGGGACAGTCACTTACAAAGGAGTTCCCATAAGACTGTCAGCTGATTTCTCAAAAGAGACCTTACAGGCAAGAAGGGGCTGGAAAGAAGTATTCCAAGTCATGAAAACCAAAGATCTACATCCAAGATTGCTCTATCCAGAAAAGGTTTCATTTAGAATGGAAGGACAGATAAAGTGCTTCTCAAATAAGATCAAATTCAAGGAGTTCATCATCACCAAGCCCTTATTATATGAAATGTTAAAGGAGATAACAAAAAAGAAGATAAAAAAAACTGTAGATAGAAAATAGATAGGGGGGAGGGCAAGAATAGTAGGGGAAATATAGAATCTAAAGAACTTGAGACACATGGTCATGAACTAAAGGGGGAGAGTGGTGGGGGAGGGGTGTTCAGGGTGGAGGGGAATGAAGGGGGGGGAATAGAACAAATGTAATGGCATAATCAATAAAATGAAAAAATATTTAAAAAAAAGAAAGAAGTAAATAAAAAACAATAAAAAAATTAACTAGAAATGGATTACAGACCACGAAGAGAAAGCTACAACTATACTAAAATTCTATAAGAAAATCTTTGTGACCTTCAGGCAGATAAAGATTTCTTTGAATACAAAATGAATGAGCCAAAAGAGAAGAAAGTGATAAAATGGACTTCAACAAAATGAAAACTGTTCTTTGAAAGACACTTTTTAAAAAACAAAACAAAACAAAACAAAACAAAACAAAACAAAACAAAACAAAAGGCAAGCCAGGAACTGGGAGCAAATATTCACCGTTCACATGATTGTGAAAACACTTGTATCCCAGACACAGAAAGAATTCTTACTCACCCCAGTAAGTAAACAGGTATTTACCAAAGAGGACATATGAATGGCCAATAGCACATAAAAAGATGCCCAATGTCTATAGTCATGAGGGAAAAGCAAATTAAACTACAATGTCATACCATCTCACACCTATCAGAATGGTTAAATGAAAATGACTGACAACATCAAACACTAGTGATGAAGTAGAGAAATGGAACTCTCATATATTACCAGTCGGTGTGTAAAATGGGACAACCACTTTGGAAAATCGTTCAGTAGTTTTTAAAGCCAGGTATACAGGTATATTTTGTATGATTCCATGTCTATGAAACTAGAATGGCAGGCCTAAATCAGTGACAGGAAACAGGCCAGTGAGGACCAGGCTGTGGAGTGTGGGCTGACTGGGCAGTGGCTCAGGGAAACATTTTGGGATGATAGGAATGTCCTCTATCTTGCTTATGGTGGTGGTTCCATGGATATACACATTTGTCAACATTTATTGAACTGTACACTTAAGATGTATGCTTTTTACTGTGTGAAATTTAGACCTTAATAAAGTTGATTTTTAAAAAGTTTCATTAGAGAAGTCTTTGCTAGAGCAACATTACTATAGACTTGGTTCCGATCTTAGTTTCAACCCATAATTTTCAAATCACTTAACCAATTTCCCAATCTGCTAAATGGGGACACTCCCAGTCTGGCCGTTTTGGGAACCACTATACAGTTGCTCCTAATTATTGTCGATCTCCCTAATTGCTAATACTTATTCATAATTCCAAAATTGGTACTTGTGGTGCTTTTGTGGTCGATGGACATGTGCCTAACACACGTGCTGGATGAGGTCAAGGCATCACTCTTGCTCAGCTCTGAAGCTGACACCTTAAACAAATACCATTTTCGTGCCATATTTCTCACATTTTTGTGGGGTTTTTTTTGGCAATTTTGCTGTTTAAAAGACCCTCAAGCATGGTGCTAAAGTGCTGTGGAGTGCTCCTGAGCACAAGAAGGCAGTGGTGTGCCACAGGGAGAAAGCACATCTATTAAGACAAGCTTCATTCAGTCATGACTTAGTGCTGTGGCCGCGAGTTCCATGTTAATGAATCAACAATACAAACAAGGCGCATTGAAACAGAAAAACACATGACCAAAGTTTTGTACTGATCCGTTGACAAAAATACCTAATCCTGTATCTCCCTAGGGAGCACTGATTGAGTGCTGATTTAGTGGTGATTTTACAAAAAATAATGACTACAGCCCTGGTTGCTATGACTCAGTGGATTGAGTGCCAGCCTGGTGAACCAAAGGGTTGCCAGTTCAATTCCCAGTCAGGGCACATGCCTGGGTTACTAGCCAGGTCTCCAGTAGTGGGTGAATGAGCGGCAACCACACATTGATGTTTCTCTCCCTCTCCTCCCCTCTCTAAAAATAAATAAAATCTTAAAAAAAATGTACTACCACGAGTAACAAAAATAAAGTATATATATATATACTTCTAATTCCTTCTGTCCTTTCTTGGGTGAAATGGCTTTGAGTTTTCACCATCTTGATTACCAATGTCCTGCTTTTCTCCAAAATGTAAGTCAGTATTGCAGAGATGGCCTGGCCGACGCAGGCCACTGGGGGACTCTCGTCCACTTGATCTGCAGAGCTTGGCAATGTGGCTGTACTCTGGCCCCTTGTATTCACAAACTCCACAGCTTTTACATAAACTTCTGTCACAACTTGAGCCAAATGATTTCTTCCATCTTTTGTATCTCTGTATTGTTGCCTTAAGGTACATTACTCCCTTTCCTCATTATTGGCAAACCGAGAATTTCATTTTCTGAGCTACCCGTCCTTCGTGAGAGCCGCATTGTTTCCAAGTCTCTGCTCATGCACTCAGAGTTGTCTCTATTACTCATAGAAGCTCTCTGGTGGGCTGCTGTGATATAATTAGACAGATTTACTCTTCTCATTTAAAAAAATTAATGTTATCGGGCACATTTAATCTGTTTTAAACATCAAGCTGTACTTCCATCATCATCTATTTCTACACAAAAGCTTAATTTATGCAAAAACTTTGCAGTGCACATCAGTCAACTTGAAATAATTTTAACAGTTGAAAACTTGAAATTTTGTCTTAGAGATTTTATTTATTTATTTTTAGATGGGGCGGGAGAGGGAGAGAGGGGAACATTAATATGTGGTTGCCTTTCTCTCACCCACTACTGGGGACTTAGCCTGCAACCCAGGCATGTGCCCTGACTGGGAATTGGAAGAGTGACCCTTTGGTTTACAGGCCAGTGCTCAATCCACTGTGCCACACCAACCAGGGCTAAAACTTGAAAATTTTTACAAGTTGTTTTAAGTTCCCTTTGGGACAGATCGCACATCAATAATTCTGAAGTTACTTATTTAGTATTCTGGATCATTGTTAACTAAATCACTAGCTTTCCTTTTGTGGTTCAGAAGAGAAAATATATTTCATTCATATCAAGAAGACTCAAGAGAAAGTCACTTATTTTCTGCAGAGAAAAAGGAAAAAAGGGAGGGAGGGAGGAAATGGGGGAGGGAGGGAGGACCTATTTGTGAAGATCAGAACAGAATATTCTCAGGCAGGACACAGCCAGTTTTTGCTCTGTGTACTTCACCTGTTCGGAAGGTCTGTGACTACACAGTAAGTCCTACACTGCCAACAAGGCAAGAAAAATTAAACACACATTTTGGTTTTATATGATAACATTCAATACACACTGATAGGCAGTGGGATTAAAAGATCTCATCGATGAATCCTACTTTCAATGCAAACAAGTCACCCTTCTAGCCTACCCACCCCTTCTCATCCATGAATATTTTAAGCAGGCGTGCAGACACCCAGCACCTCAAATGAAAACAGTCCAATATCTAGAGTAACTGAGTAGTCATTAAATTATATTTTTAAACTACTTTAAAATTCAAAATCAAATTTTATTTTTTACTTTTAAAAAAGATTCTATCTATTTTTAGAGGGGAAGGGAGGGAGAGAGGGAGAAAAACACTGATGTGAGAGATACATCGATCCAGTTGCCTCTCACATGCCCCCAACTGGGGACCTGGCCCGCAACCCAGGAATGTGCCTTGACTGGGAATCAAACTGGCAACCCTTCCATTGGAAGGCTGGCACTCAACACACTGAGCCACACCAGCCAGGGCTAAAGTCATTTTTTAAAAAGGCATCTAGGTTCAGCTCACCATCCATCTTTACAAGAATATTACACTACTTACATATAATATACAAGTGAATATGGACTCGGAAGCTCTTGGTTCAAACAAAAACATGTTCTCACTACTCAGAGCAACCTGGAGTTCAATTTCTAGGCAGCTGCTCAGTCGGGACCTACTTCAAATACATACCTATTCTAAGTTCATGGGACAAATAATGTACTCTATGTGAACCATTAATATCATAGTTTCTTTTTTTAAAATTATTTATTTATTTATCTTTAGAAGGGAAGGGAAGGAGAGAAGGAGAGGAATATCAATGTATGGTTGCTTCTGGTGCATCCCCTGCTGGGAACTGGCCTACAACCCAGGCATGTGCCCTGACGGGGAATGGAACCGTGATCTTTTGGTTCACAGGCCTGTGCTCAATCCACTGAGCTATACTAGCCAGGGCTATATCATAGTTTCAAGTATTTTTGGTTCTTATTAAGTATTAAACACTTACCAGCACCTTCTACCACACAGAGAATTTGACAAGATCTAAGGCACTCGAATTTTATTTCTGGCTCTTATACACCTAAATATCTCCCACGACCACCTCCCAGAATTGTGCTGTTCTTACCATGACGCCATCTTGGGGAAACCTAATCTATCTCTAGCCAGAGTTTCAATCCCAGTATAATAATCCTACCAATTTACCCAGCCTTTAGGTGACACCAGCATTCACTTGGGCCAAATGGGATTTGGAAAGGCAGGTTGTACAGGAAGAGGAATGTTCCAAAGGGGACTTTTTGATGGTAATGTGACTGGGGCTTGAACTGTAATTCTTGATGTTTATAATAAAGCATATGTGCAAATCCCAAACTCCATTCTTTATGGAACGTTTCTGTTTTTTCAGCCATGCTCCATAGTTTCTCAAATGTTGCATTCATTTTGGTTAGAGATTTCAGTTTCTTTAAATCATATTTTAAAATGATGAGGTTTTTAGGTATTTCCAGTCAAAGCTCCACAATATTATATGGGCACTGAGAGCCATTCTGATATGAATTAAAATGACAGCGGTTTGGTGACCTTATCAATTGTTTTAAAAAACAAAACAAAACAACCCCAACCCCCCCAAACAAAACAGAAAATGGAACAGAAAAAAAAAAACCTGGCTCATAATACCAACATATTGAAATTATGTGAAGGGCAGCCCGGCTGGTGTGGCTCAGTGGATGGAGTGCCTGCCTGCCAACTCACACCTCTAACAGAGCAATGACCATAACGATCTAGATAAAAAAGTTACGTATTTGTAGAATTTGAGTGTTAAAAGACACATTTCAGGATCATTGTTCCACCCTTCCTCATTTTACAGATAAGGAAACTGAATCCTACAAGTTAAACAATTAATCTGGGGTGAGCTAAATTAATTCTTTTGCCTCTGAGTCTACGTAAACACTAGACTAGCGCCTCACCGTGATAAAGAAGCGGCAATGCACGCCCTATGATCCAAGAGATACAGAAACACAGCTCTCAATTTACCTTCCAGTTTGGGGGCAAAAAAATCTGTGTGAATAAAACGATAGTAAAAACAATAGCATGTTGACTTTCCACTTAAAGGTCCATGTTAAATTCAGTGTCAAATCAACACAGTGGAGGGAAGTCCATATGCAAAGCTTGTGGGCTTTACAAGTATTTGTTTTCACTGTGCCAATCAGGAATACGGGCCACATAGAACCAATCCCTGCTTTCCAGAATCACAAGAAGCAATGCAGGTTATGCGTATCTTGGTAAGTTGGGGCTATTTAAGGCTATTCAGGAATTTGGCATGTTCTTCTCCTCTTGGTAACAGGGTTTCTCCTCCTATCTTTGGACCCATCTTTTCCTAGAAAAATGAAAATAGTTTAATAAGAAATGGGTCAACATTATTTGCCTGGGTCACTGAATAAAATGAGTCACCTTGCAAAGGCCATACCTTCAGCATTCCGTCCCGTTCCCACCTGAAGAGGCCACAGTTCCTGAAACACAGAGGATGAGATTCACTCAGCAGTGAGATGCGGGCCCAGCCCATAGAGACACTAGAAGAGTGTCCCCCATTCAAGCAGAAGGTGATCAAGGTGACACTCAGATTGCAGGCTATGCTTGAATGCTACTGAAAATACACACTCCAGTGACCTGAGGAATGGTCTTCAACTCTGCAGTAAGCCAGATACATCGGGGATGGAATTTCTAATGACAGTGTGACAGAGCTGTGCACTTGGTAGGTAACGGATGCAACCTGATTCTTAATGCAAGACACTGGGACGACACTCAGGTTTAGAAAGCAAGCCCTCTGACACCATGTAGCCTTAGTCTTGCACCCTTCCTTTTTCTGGAACTAAAAGGTTGCAATAAAAAAGGATTAATCTTTTTTCTGGTCTGAATAATCTTTCCTCCTTTTTCATAACCCAAATACATTTACTGTCTTACTATTCACTTTTCAAAGGGCCTAGAGATGTTTGTTCTCCTTCTTTAACTTGGTGGGTGAGTCCTCGACCTAAGAAGGGATGTGGCTACTACGAGGAAAGCTTATCTTCTACTATGTTTCCTCTGGGCGAGAAAGAGAAACAGAAAAGAAACGCAGGGAAGACACTGAAATATGTCTAACCCTTGGATCTGACAGGGCCTGGGGCATAGGGACCGCCCTATCTGCCTCATTCTTCTTCCCTATCCAGTTTATAGTGTACCCCCTGATGGTTGTCTTTTTCTTTTTGTAATGCAAGTGCCAGACTTAAGCTTTGGTTGCTGAGTCATCCTCTTCAAATACACTGTCAGCCACAGGAGTAGACCCACATCCCCCAACCCTGCCCCTCTCATTAAGAGTCCTTTCTTTTAGAGATCTCTGTTAATTTCAACAACTGACCATTTGGACTACTTGTTTTCTCTTCATGTGATTCAAATTCCCCCTCTTAAGTTTTAAATTCCCCAGTAAAGAATGAGCCTTGGAAACCCTAGGCCCCACCCTCAACCCCAGTAAAAGCAGAAGCAGCCCAAGCCAGCACGCTCTGGCTCTCAGGCTCTCTACAGGGACTTCGCTGTACTGTGTGATCCCCAGGTCTCCTAAGTAATAAACCTGTATCTTTGCAGAGTTCCCTGATGGCTGCTGCTGAAGGGTGTCTTGCAGTCACAGTTAAGAACAACTAGGGCTGATCCAGCCACAACATTGGTTATTGATAGGCTAAGACCAATACAAAATAAAGGGAGACTCCCGCTGCCCTGAGAGTCAGCATGCCCGTGGCCTTAGCCTTGCGCCTCTCCATCACCTCCATCTACAGTCCCGTTCAATATCTACTGAGAGAACTTTTGCAGCCTACTAATAGATCAATGGTGGTGGTATTAAAAAAAAAATCAGTGTGCTAGGTGTTGGGGGTTGGCAAAAAAAGCAACCTGTGGGCCAAACCTGTGTGCAGCCTGTACTAGTTTTTGTAAATAAAGTTTTATTTGAAGACAGCCACATCTATTTGTTGTGTATTACCTACAAGAGCTTTCAAGCTACAACAACAAAGCTGAGTAGCTGTGAAACAGACTGTGGGCTTGAAAAACCTTGTATATTGACTATCTGGTCTTTTACAGAAAAAATATGGTTACTCATGCTCTAGATCAAGAATTGACAAACCAGAGAAAGCAGCTGTTCTTACAAATACAAGAGTGCCACCTGGAGGCCAATGAGGCACCGTGTTCTTCCATTTGTGAGCTGTACTTCACTGCTTATCCTTAATGAACAGATTTTCTCTGATACTCAGATGTTTTACAGAAGCTGTTTTCACAGTATTTTGGAGAAAAATCAAATGCCAATATACACATAGCCACTTGAAACTATTACCTAGATTGTGAAAAAGTCACAAATCGGCTCCCGACAAGGGGATGAAGACGGGAAGAGCGCCCTGCTTGACAACATGATGGCTGCAGCACTGCAACAGATGCCACCCCCAAGGGCTGTGCCATCACTAGGTAACAGGAATTTTTCGACTCCATTATAATCTCATGGGACCACCATGCTCTGTGTGGTCTGTCCATAAATGAGGAGAGCACAGGATGGACCTGTGGTGGTGTATAAGCGGCATGTGGCCGGCCACCCTGAACTTCACCGGGTGTCGTCTGCATTGTGTTCTACATGGATAACACTCAACACAGCAGCTCTGCCTCTATATCTGAAGCTACTCCCTCAAAAGTAAAAAGAAACTTAAGAGTGGAGGAAAAAAACACTAACTCCTAGCCCTCACAAATACATATATTCCCCAATCCACCTTATCCATACTTCATTTATTAACTCCACAAAACATTCTTGAGGACGTACTATGCGCCAGGTACTATATCAAGTATCAGGGACAAAGCAGTGAAGAGGGCAGGGTCCCTTCTCTCCAGGAGCTGGAAGAAGGCACAGAAATAAGGCTTGACTCTCACAGAGGACTGTCCATGTTTCACTGGGACAGCGTCATGCGGGAACTGAAAGAGGGTTCAAGAGGTCTAGATGGGACATGGAATCCCAGACAGTTCTCATACCTGCAATGCTTTCTGGGTAGCCTGTCAAGGGAGATACATCTGCTTCCACAGGGACACTTGAAAAACCTTTTCACGCCGTCGTGCCAGTGGTAGTCATGCTGCTCACTGATGCAGGTCTCCAAAGGCTTGAAGTGGGTGTAGGCACACTGCACAAACCAACAGAAGGACACACATGCGGTGAGGAGCTCTGGAGGAGGACCTAGTCAGCTACTGAGACAGCAATCTGTCCTCTCGTCATGACCCAGGTGCTCGCTAGTGGAGTGACCACCTTATCTTCTAGCTACATCGAGCCCTGGGATTTCGTGGACCCTTCATGCCGATACGACTCTTTCTCACATTTGCCTCAATTTCTGGTCAGGCATGAAGTAGGCAGTAATCTTCTGTGACATCAAGGCAATAGAAAGGGCGGAGGAAGAACAGTGGAAGCCTCTAAACAGCCTGGCGGGGCTGTCCTACATTCATGCAGTCCCCTGGTTACAGGACACTGCCGCGTGGGATCCACTTAGGAAGTTGTTCAGCACCTCGTTCACTTTCTCTTACTTCTACTTTCCCTTACAAAGCCTCTGAAAAGGATAAGCGTATTACTACTCCTATTTTTCTTCAGTAGGAAAACAAAGACAAAGGTATTAAGTAATTCACTTAATTTTGATTCTCAAAAGGACTGAAGAGAGTAAGAAATGGTGAGTGAAGCTTGAAAAAGGTGCCGAGAGAGTTCAATGTTAATTTCTGCTAATTACATTGAGTTTACATAAATAACTTCCAATTCTGGCAACCTCAAAAAGTGCAGGGCCGAGTGATATGCTGGCTGTGGCTGGCAGAACGCCTTCCTCCCCCGAAGATGTACACACCCTATTCCCCCCAGAACCTATGAGTATGTTAGGGGCAAAAGGGGATTCAGGTGGCTAATTAGTTGACTTTAAGATAGGGAGATTATCCTGTATTTTGTGGGTAGGCCCAATGGAATCACAAAATGTTCTTAAAAGTGGTTGTGGGACAAAGGGGAGGAGGTCAGAATGATGTTATGAGAAGGCTCGACCTGCTGGCTCTGAAGAGGGAGGAAGGGGTCCCAGGCCAAGGTATGTGGGGTGGGATCTAGAAGCCAGGAATGGCAAGGAAATTGTTCCCCTCCCAGAGTCTCCAGAAGGAACATGGCCCTTGAGGGCACATGATGTTAGCCCTGTTATAACCACACAAGACTCTGACCTACAGAACCGTAGGGTAATGCAGTTGTGTTGTTTTAAGTTTCCCATCACCGATCATTTATTAGAGCAGCAGCAGGAAAATACACCAGCTATGTCCTTAGGCTTGCCACTTTGTCAGAGTAAAAGTTGCCATCTGAGGTAAAACCTTTACTTATTCACCAAGGTCTGAACTTTCCTAAGGAAGCCCCTTTAGTTGTGGCTGGTTCAGGGCCGCTCCCTAAATGTAAAGGAGAATCTAAGGTTTTAGAAACAATAGAGAAAATTGTACTTGGTAAGCTAAGTCTCTTACCCCTCTTACATGCAAATACAAGGGTGGCCAGCCAGGCAGCTATAAAATGAGGGGGAATGGAAGGAATACTGCTCAGCAAAAGCTTTATGGGGGCCATTTAAAAATTAATGTTGAAGCCCTGGCTGGTGTAGCTCAGTGGATTGAGCGCGGGCCTGCAAACCAGACAATTGCGGTTCGATTCCCAGTCAGGGCACATACCGGGGCTGCGGGCCGGTTCCCTGCAGGCCAGTTCCCAGCAGGGGATGCATGAAAGGCAACCATACATTGATGTTTCTTTCCCTCCCTCCTTCCCTTCCCCTCTAAAGATAAATAAATAAAATCTTTAAAAAAAAAAATTAATGTTGAGGACCAGGAAACACTATTTTCTAACAGACTTAGGATAAAAATTCTGCAAACACAGGCAATAATACAATTCACACTCTGCCCTAGGATTCAATTTAGCAAGGTCCCAGGAGCTGTGAACTGAGGGTGTGCTAGAAACATCACAAAGACATAAGAATAACTTGGGTTCAGTGGACAAAGGGAAAGAAACGTTGGAGGTTCGTCTGCAGAACTGAGAGCTAAGGTCAAATGAGAGGAAAACCTCACTACAAATGCTCCACATCAGACTCCATTGGACAGGTCAGCACGGAGCCAAATCCTGGGCTATGGCAGGCAGTTTTGTTTCCAGTGTAAATAAATGACCCAAGCATGACTCTGGTCATTCATAAGATATGGCCTGCCACCCTATAGATTCTCCACATTTTGCTGAGTCACAACAGCACAAAAATAGGGCCCAGGGTCAGAGCTGTCTCCCTGAACTCACCGTCTTGCATGTCACCACTCGGCATTTCACTTCTTTGATGTTTCTCATCTTTTCTTCCATTTGTTCCTTCTTCACCAGTGGCTCAAAATAGAGTTCCTGCAGCTCAGCCTCAGCCTGGAATGACAAGGCATAGGGGAGGCTCGGACCAACCCCACACACTCTCAGACCACAGTTCAATACCGGAACTGAAGAGACAAGCTTCCTGCCAACGAGGACACTTGGTAATAGCTTGGTAAATGCAAACCAAAAGATGATAGTAAGTAGACACACGTCAACATGAAAAAAAAAGGCATAAAAGCACGTAATTTTTAAAACACTAAATACAGACTTAAAATGCTACTATTACTAACACGGTTACCATGTCAAGTGCGCACCCAAAGGGAACCTGTCCTTCTATCCCACTACAGACTCCAGCTGTGGAAGGACTTCAATGCCCCTCCAGCAACGGCAGCCCAATCTGTTCCATACTCTTCTTCAGACAGGAGCAATCCTGTCTGTGTGGAACACGGAGGAGACGAGGGCAGTAAGATATTTACAGCAGAATGTGCTTACAGGCCTGGCATTAGCACAGCTACACAAGACACAAGGGCCACTTTGGTGGCCACAAAGGAGAAGCAGCTCAGCTGTATAGTCTTTTGAGCATATCTCCTGATTTCAAGTTCAGTAAAAAGATATGATATATAATGTTCTCATTAGTCATTTGCTAATCAAAAGAAGAGCAGATCATTCAGAGTATTGGCACTAAAAGGGGCAATACTGTCCCTGAGAGGGCATTTTGAAACCCTGTGGGAGCACTGCCCTGACCTGTGTGGCACAGTGGGTTGGCCATCGGTCTGCAAAGTGAAAGGTCACAGGTCGATTCCCATTCAGGGCACATGCCTGGGCTGCCAGTTCAGTTCCCAGTCAGGGTGCAAGAGACAATGGATTGATGTTTTCTCTCACAATGTATTTCTCTCCCTCTGTCTCCCGCCTTTCTTCTCCCTCCTAAAAAGAATGTGTGGGAGTTTGTTATCTCAGTGATTTGCTAGCCTTGCTACTGCTAGCAGCCAAGGATGCTACGCTATCTGCAATGCACAGAACAGTCCCCACACAACAAAGGGTTTTTCTGAATGTTCTTTGGGACATGTGGATGAAAAACCCGATTATAACCCTTGAACCTAACCACTTTATATACAACCCTACAATATTTGGGCATGGTTCTAACATACACTAAATATTCTAAGAGTGCAACTAGGCAACTCCTGTATTTTGGTGTCTTCACAGTTTCCCAAGATTATTCACTGCTTTAAAAAAACACACACATTTTGAAATAAATAGGTCCATGGTATTTACGTTACCAAGAAAACAAACCTCTATGAATCTTCCTTTCTATCTGTCTCAAATATTTACAACACATATAAATCCAACACTCTGACTACTTCATTATTTCTTGTACGGTAGTTGTGCCCATGTACTTACATTATAAAATACATATTTTTAATATAAACATTTCCCTTTTTCTTCTTTATATTACAGTTAGGATATTACATTACCATTTTCAATAAAATTCAACTAGTTAGATGATTATATCATCATGAACTCTATTCATGGATAATAAGGGAACAATACAAAACATCTGTTATTAAAAGGGGGCATTTGGGAGTGTTGGATTGATAACTACTGATTTACAACATTTGAAATGCCAATATAAAAATATTTAAATGGAAAAACCCCTTTTCACATTGCAAGGCAGAACACAGTAGAGAGTGGCAAGCCATTTATCGTTAGGTTCACACCCATAATTACATGCAATCATTTTATAACCCTGAAGTCTATTTAAATAGTGTTAACTGATATTCTTCAGTGCAAGGGCAAGACTGCAATCTATTGGGACTATTCCTGTGCTACAAAGTAAACTCAAACCAGCTGACATATAGCTACATTCTAGTTGGGGTAAAAGAAACAAATTCTAGTCCTACAACAAAGCACTGCCAGTCTGAAGGGCAGTGCTACCATCTTTGATCTTTCAAGTTCTTACCTCTTTTAGGATCCCCGTGTGCTTTGATTTTGCTTTTAGAATTTTCTGAAATTCCTCAGATTCCAGGTAGGCAAGCTGTTCTCTCCTTTTTTTCCTGGCAGGCTCCAATTCATCCTCAGCTAGAGCAAAAGAAAAAGCACCAGCTGGTACAGCCCAACTACTATTGTCTCATCGACTCGGTTTCCCCCATTCTCTCTGTCTCTGCCCACCAGGCCCTTCTGACTGACCTCACCCCACTAGGCACCAGCCGAGGAAGGCTACTAAGAAGTGAGCTGAGAAATAGAAACTAGAATATGAAAGGCAGCACATTTGACCACTGCATTAGAATCTCTTTTTCACATTAAAACAGGAGCTGATTATGATAAAAGATAATAAATATCCTATTTACAAACTGATATTAAAATATTGCCAACTTTGAGTTTTAAAAATAAAAACAGGGCAATTCTAAACAAAGGAATTCTACTTCTTTTGAAGTACACCTTATACTAATATATAGGTACAAAGATCCAATGAATAAGCCTTTTTTCTCAAGTTTTCAAATTGTGCATAATTTCAATTTCATGTGATTATAAAAAACAAACAGTTCCTGTTGTGAAAATTTTATTTGGGGATTCCACATCAAGGTGCAGTGAAGTAAAATTGTGACCTGATGTCAGGGACACTGGCTGTGGCTTACATGTTTCCTTTATAAACAGTTTCTCTCTTCTACTGTGAACTTTGAAATCTGCAGTACCTTGAGGAGACAAAGTGGTATTCTTTTCCACACGTTTCTTCACTTCAAGGACATCCTGGGGGTCGTTTTGTTTCTTTTTAATGCTGTTTGGGTCTGTCTTTGAAAGAAGTTGGCCTTTTGCCTTTAATTTGGTTATAGCAGCTAACTAGAAAAAAGAGAAGAGAGGGAGATAAAAACCTAAAAATGACATAGCTCTGCCCCCTTTCCAGTTATTAACCACTGAATTCTGGCTGCTCTCAAATATAAACTGGCAAAATCTATCTTCATTGTACTCAGCACTATAACAATTATTAAAATTTAAAAGCACAGTAAAACAGGTCTATAGTTTAGTAAATAAAATCTCAGCTTACTTAAATATTGTTAAGTTTAACATCACCTAGTCTATAGGCCCCTAGATTCATAAAGGAACAACATAAACATTTCAAAGGTTGTTTTAGAATCACACAGATTTAGGGTAAAATTCCAGCTCTGCCACTTACTGGTTTATAACCTTAGTTACTTAATCATTCAGCCTCAGTTGCTACATTTATAAAATGGGACGACAGCACTTCCTTATATTTTAGGGTTGTTGTGAATGAAACGAGACAATGTAGGCAAAGCATGCACAGAAAACAGCATGTATACATCTATCACAGGTACAGAGTAATAGTGACAAGTATGTGCAATTATCATTACTATCATTACTACTGTAGATATGGCTCTGGCTTGTAGCTCGCCTTTGCTTTCCAGGCAGTTATAGTTGCTACTGGAACAAAGTGAAGACAGCTCAAGACCAGGCGACGCAGGGAGCAGTAGAACGTGCTGAGGAGTGGGGGCTCTGAGCAGCCCAGTCCCACTTCAATCAGAGCAACTCAGCTTCTATGCCTACAGACTGGGCTGCTGTGTAAGCTTTCTTTTAAATGAGTCCTTAAACCACTATTTTACAGTCTTGCCTCAACAATTCCAAGAATTTTTTCCCTAATGCCAGTGTCTCCAATTGTGAAACAATATTTTCTTCTAAGCTATCTCCTTCAGACTGATAAAAAAAAGTGTTGAGGTAATGGCTACTTTCCTTGGACTAAATTAATGGCATTATGATGACATTAAAATTCTACTCTAATCACTACAGTCCATGAATAACTATTAGGTACCTGTCCCGTAGTTCCTGATCATAGGTATATAAAGTATGAAACTCCAGCTATGTCTTACATAAAGGAAATTCAAAAGGTGAAGAAAACAAATACCAGTTACCTTTTTGGCTTCTGCTAAAGCACTCAGTTTGGGTTTTGGAGGTGGTGACGCATCAAAAAAAAGAACGTCATCTTCTGCTGAGATGCCTCGTCCCAGCTTGGGTGCCTGTATGGCTGGGGTTCCTTGTAGCCTGGGGAACTCAGCCCCTGTGGATGGAGACTGAGAAGAGGGTTGTCCAGAAGACAATGGCACAGTTGGGCTGGTGATCTCACTTGAGCTTTGCAAAAATCTTTAGAGAAATATGTAGTCACAAACTATGCAAGTACCAAATAACAGACTGGGGGAGTGCAGGGAGCCCACCAACTGATACGAAATTGTTAGTAAAAGAGTTTCTCCTCCTAGACTAATAATTCAGATTAGCATGCTATAAGAAGAATGCCAGTTCCACTAACTCTTCCGCTGATTGATTTTTTTCATTGAAAATGCTCTAATTGTTTTGCCAATTTAGAACTGATTATTATTTTTAGCAATTGGCTTTTCAGTGGGTGCTGTCTATGAAACACAGCTCCGAAGGTGAGCGATGACTACATTCCCAGCTCTCTGGTTAGTCTAGGACCTGTAAGAATTCCTGGAATCTCTCTGTATTCTAGTTTACTCTCTTGGGAACAGAGAACTCATGTGATAAATTTGGAAGCCTTTAACAGAAAGGTTATATAATTCACACACTGGCTATTTTACTTATGGTTTTCAAGGCTAATTTAAAAACAACAAACATCAGAAATCATCTAGTCCAAATGTCTTGCCTTAGTGATGAAGAAATTGAGTCCCAAGACCCAAATGTTCACAGCGACAGGAACGGGACTAGTACCAGTTAATCCCAGGCCAGCATTCTTTTCACTACCACACACCCACTCCTGCCAGCTCCAGGCCAAGTTTGTAAACTGCCTATCACATCCTGCCCACAGATATGTTTAACTTGTTCAGCAAGATTCTGAAAAACTATAAATTATAATCCCTTTAAACTGACAGATGCTCTCTTATTTCACACAAGATCCACAGCTTCCTATATATTTTTATACTTATATGTATATATATTCTTAAGTCATGTGTTGGCCCATGAATACCTCTATAGATATCCCATCAGCACCTCACAGATAGGTGTAAGGACCAAATGAGAAAATGTATTAATAAGTGTATAACACAGTGCTTGATAGTAGCTCTTATTACAATACTATTCAGATAACGAGCTCAAGAATCTTTGGCATAATCACTTAGTAAGTTACATAATGTCTAACCACTAGGTGGCACACCTAAAACTATTACAATATTTTATGCCAACTGTAATTTTGAAAGTAGTATATTAATATAAAAAAAGAACCTTTGATTTGTTTACCTTCCATATCCATTTCCACTTGATTTTGCCTCTAAAATGACTCTCCATTTTCAGTGCCTCATTTTTATCATTTACCCGAACTACAAAATCTACTCACTGGCTCAGCTCCTGATTAAAAACCTAATTTTGGCAAATGAAGAAATAGGCACCAAGCAGGTCAACACGTGCTTTCCTCTTTCCCCAAATCCTTTTCAGACTGCCTTGCTCTTCCAAGGCAACATTAATTACTGTAACCTGCACCACTCAGTCTCAGGATTCACACACCGTAAGTCAGAAATATATGACTTTAAATGCCATCTGTTTAGGTTATGTTAAATTATTTTCACACCTTCAAAGTTATAAAGTTAGCCAGCCACCTAAAATCTAAAGCTGCAGTTTTGAAATCTATGAAGACATTCTGGGGATTCCTGAGATGAGTTAACCAAGCAGGGATGTTAAATATTACTCTTACCGTTTAGTGATTTCTTCTGATTTCTTTTTCCTCATCTCCAACATATGCTGTTTCTGTTGCTTCAGCAGAGCTGATGCTGAGATAGACTGGAAAGCAGGTTTCGGGCACCCCGTGATCCCTAAAACACAAGCCACAGACTGAGGGGTTTCTGAGAGGCAGCAGCAACTCAGGTATGAACGCTAAACAGGTGCAAGCTGACTCTACCTGATGACTTGACTTTGGCTAAATGTTGTTTCAAGTTTCTGGCTCCAAACGTAGGCAAGTCCATCAATTCCCTGAATTCCTCAGAGCAAGACAAGCTCTTTTGGGCTATTCCTGGAATATACAAACATCAGTTTTACAGGATTAGAAATTTAGACTGTTTGATGTCATGTGACTTAACACTATTCAACTGTCTTCATAACTTAGTCATTTGTAAATGAAGTACATGAAACACCAAAAAAAAAAAAAAGGATCCTTAACCTCTTCCATGAGACTACTAGGAGTATAAGGCTATGACAAATAACTTATCTGAAGTAATGATTAGAATACTCCTATCTATGGGGTCGCTTCATACACTGCATTTGGAATATACGCTATGGATAAAGGTCCATTCTAGGCCCTGATCACTGTCATGAATAAAGCCCCTAGTACAGGGTGAAGGCAGCATTCTCTGACTTAGACCTGTTTTAACGAAAGACAAGGGATGGGTTTCACCTGCAATGTGATTCTACTACTTCTAATACAATAAGAGTTACATCCAGATACGTCAAGAAATTTTAAAAAGCATACTAAACTAAGTTACAGCCAAGATTAATATGCTGTTTTTTCTTAACATGCTGCCAACTAAGCTTGATTCTTTCAGCATCAGCCACATTACTAAGATAATGATGAGTGGATATTTATAATTCATTTAGAGTACAAACTATGACCATTTTCAATCCTAAGACTACACATTTATGCTGGAGAAAGAAATACAGTCTTGAGAAACAAAGTTACCGAGTTTTTGTTGAGTCTCCTGAATGATCAAATCTGTGCCCTTCACAACCAGATTAGTCAGAGTGGTTTGAATCTTCTTTTTAGGAGCGCCAGCTGCTGCACTGTAATGACAAGTCAGCCCAAGAAAGGAAAATCAATGAACTTGACTGCTCTGATGAAGTAAAAATGAAGCACTCATTCATTACAAATTATCAAAGTTTCTCAAAACAGCACTTAACTAGACTTTCTTACTACCATGGCCCTACAGCACAACTGTGGAAAGCAGGAAGTCACAGGTACAAGACAGCACAACCTGCACATCTGCCCAACGCCTGCTGGAAGAATAACTTGGCAAAAGAAAAAAATACGCCAACACTTGAATCAAGTAGTGTAGGAATTTATCTTAAAATAACTAAGGGGATGCTGGGAAGATGGCGACAGAGTAGGATGGAGCGGATTCTAGCTCCCATACTCTTGGGTAAAAATCCTGGCAGATCTATAGAGGAACAGCACGATAAACCATCAGTTACCCAGCATTTATGAAATTAAAAGACCAGAGATTGTGACCAACCCTGAAACACCAGACAGTGGCAGAGTCAGCTACTGGAGCTGGGACACAGGCGGCCCCTGTGCAGCCACCAGAGCAACAGGCCTGGGAGCCAGGGAGTCAGGTACGGGAGCCGGACACTCCAAGCCCCTGTGACGGTCCTGGGCGACAGAGGAGTCAGGAACTGGAGCGGGGACATTCTCGGCCCCTGTGCCGCTGCCATAGCTACGGGCCTGGGCAACAGAAGAGTCAGTTGCAGGAGCGGGGACACCGGAGGCCCCTGTGATGCCGCTATAGAGACAGGCCTGGGCGCTGCGGAGCCAGCTAAGGGAGCTGGACATTCTCAGCCCCTGTGCCGCTGCCATAGTGACGGGACTGGACACCGGGGAGTCAGGTACGGAAGCTGGGACACTCCAAACCCCTGTGACGGTCCTGGGCGGCGGCAGAGGAGTCAGGTACGGGAGCCAGGACATTCTTGGCCCCTGTGCTGCTGCCGTAGTAACGGGCCTGGGCGCTTGAGGAGGCGGCTACTATAGCTGGGACATTCAGCAGTGACAGGTGACCAACGCAGAGACCAGCATGAGGACCAGCGCGAGGACCAGTGTGAGAGTAGGTGGAGATGGAGAACATCAAGAAACTTCAAGGAGTCTGCACCACTGAACTTCACAAGGATCATTCCACAGAAAATTCACACCATAAACCCAGGGTTTCAGAACAGATCAATTTTAGAAGCAGAGACTAACAAGAAGAGTCTCAAACAATGGGAAGACAAAGAAACAATCCCCGCCCTGGCTGGTGTAGCTCAGTGGATTGAGTGCGGGCCTGAGAACCAGACAATTGAGGTTCGATTCCCAGTCAGGGCACATGCCTGGGTTGCAGACCAGTTCCCTGCAGGCCAGTTCCCAGCAGGGGACACACAAAAGGCAACCATACATTGATGTTTCTCTCCCTCTCTCCTTCCCTTCTCCTCTAAAGATGAAAGAAAGAAAGAAAGAAAGAAAGAAAGAAAGAAAGAAAGAAAGAAAGAAAGAAAGAAAGAAAGAAAGAAAGAAAGAAAAGAAAGAAGAAAGAAAGAAAGAAAGAAAGAAAGAAAGAAAGAAAGAAAGAAAGAAAGAAAGAAAGAAAGAAACAATCCCCAAATGAAAGAAAAAGCAGAAACTTCAGAAAGAATGTTAGATGAAATAGAGGCTAATCAACTATCAGATAGTGAATTCAAAGCACTGGTTATTACGAAGTTCGAAGAGCTCACAGTGAACTACCAGAAACTACAGGGGAACTACAATGATCTCTCTGCAAACTACATCAACATGAAAAAGGAAATGGAAACTATCAGCAAGGGACAAGAGGAAATGAAGAATACAATTTCCAAATTGAAGAACACAGTAGAAAATTTCAAAAGTAGGACAGATGAAGCGGAGGATAGGATTAGTGAGTTGGAGGACAAGGTAGAAAGCATCTCACAGAAAGAGCAAGAAAATGAAAAGAGGCTCAGAAAAAATGAAGAGGAATTAAGAGAAATGCAAGACAATATGAAACGTAATAATATCCAAATAATAGGAATACCAGAAGGAGAAGAAGAAGAACAAGGGATAGAAAACCTATTTGAACGAGTAATGAGAGAAAATTTCCCTAATTTGATAAGAGAAAAAGTCACACAAATCCAGGAATCACAGAGAGTCCTAATTAAGAGGAACCCAAGGAGGCCCACTTCAAGACACATCATCAACAAAATGGCAAAATTCCAAGACAAAGAGAGAATCTTAAAGGCAGCAAGGGAGAAAAAAGAAGTAACATACAAGGGAGTCCCAATAAGGTTAGCTACTGACTTCTCAATGGAAACACTCCAAGCAAGAAGAGAATGGCAAGAAATATTCCAAGTAATGAGAACCAGAGGCCTACAACCAAGGCTACTTTATCCAGCAAGGCTCTCAATCAAGATAGATGGCCAAATAAAGAGCTTCCAAGGCAAAAGAAGCCTAAAAGAATATACCTCCACCAAACCAGCTCTACAAGAAATACTAAAAGGACTGCTTTAAGGGAAGGAAGAATAAGAGGGAGACAGAGAGGAACACAGGTATAAAAATGGCAATGAATAAGTACCTATCAATAATAACCTTAAACGTAAATGGATTAAATGCTCCAATCAAAAGACACAGAATAGCTCAATGGATAAGAAAGCATGACCCACACATATGCTGCCTACGAGAGACCCACCTCAGGACTAAAGTATAGGCACAGTGTGATTTCATTTTAAAATACTAAAAATTTATACATGTGGAAAAATAAAAGCCACCTAGAAACACATATAACAAAGAACATATACATACATATATAGTTTTAAATAATATGTGTATTGCTTTTTATAGTTTGGGAAAACATAGGTATGATTTTAAATTTAAACATGTGCTCAATATTAGCAGACAGGCAACCAGTGAGAGTCCCTTGCCCAGTTTCTGTTGGACATGGGACAAAATCAATGCTTTGTCCTTGGACCAACTGTAGCTCCCTTGTGCCAGGTCCCTATCTGTCATGCCCTCAGATGTGCTTTTCACAATAAGGGACAAAGTCATCAATCACCTACGTCAGGGACTCTGTGGAAAGACTGAGATCACAAGAGGCCTGTGCCCCGCAACCCTTTCTGAAGCTGCACTGCATACTCATTCACTGCATTAAACACGGATTCCAAGAGGCCTGCAACCTCACTCTAACCACAGTGAGGGAAATGATTCAGAAGATGCTAACACAATGATCAAAACTCTTTTAATGGCCAACCAATTAGTCCCGACAAAGTTCCAATATTCACATTAGAACCCAAACAGGAAGCACCAGCTTGCTGTTAAAGACCATCATGACATGACTTAATTTCTCCCCACCCAGTAAGTTTTCCTCTCTAGCTGGGAATGAAAGAGGCCCTCATCTACCTTGTTCCAGGCAGTGAGTTATTAAAGATAAAACCTATACAAGTCTTCTTAAGACCATTTACGGAAATGTACGGTTACTAGGTTTATCCTTATAAGACAAGCAAGATCCTGCTCCCAGAAGCAGCCCAAGAATGTCTTACACCGAGGCTGCATATGATGCTGAAGAAACCCCTCCATAGTAAAAACCATCCTGACACAGCCGTTCTCTCAGGCCAATGCCTTTGCGGGCAAACTTCTTTGGAATTCGTCCTCCGGAGAAGGTGGACTGCAAGTCAGCTCGCTTGGCACTGAGCTTCTTATACTGGGCCTGGACGTGATACTGACAGTACTCGCAGTCCTTCTGCAAAAAAGAAGAGAGGCTGCGTCAGGATCAGGGTAACAGGCCGAGAAACAAAATAAATACACACGGTCCCTTTCTCCCAACTTCGTGGGACACCATTCTGTGTGCAGAGTTCTCCCTACTGACCTCCAAGGCCATTTGCAAGGTACACCCATGCAGTGACTAAGGGGAAAGAAGATCTTTCCTTAAATTCCCATTAAAGCACTAGTTGGGTGGAAGAAAAAGCGATGTAGTTCACTCCCTTTGCACTCTTTCTACACTCAAAATAAAAACCAGGTTCTAGCAGAAACCTCAAAAACATTACACTAAGTGAAATAAGTCAGACATTTTCAACTGGTATGCTGCAAGAATTTTTAAAACGTGCAATACCTGACTACTGACCTCTTTTCTCTTAGAGTGTCAAGTAAAAAAATTATAACAGGCAACAATAGCCTTTTGGCGTGAATGAATCAGATTTCTATGTGACTTTCTGTCAGGTTGGTAAAAATGCACCTTTTGAGTATGATGCAAAATTTCAGTAGTTTATCTGTGCCATGAGATGACAAAGGTTGAACATCACTGCTCTACAGGAAAGGACCGGAACAGGTAAATCCAGAGATAGAAGATTAGAGTTTACCAGGGGCTAGAGTAGAGGGAATGGGAAGTGACTGCTAATGGGTACTGGCTTTTTGGGGGAGAAGAGTGGATATTGAAAATGTTCTGAATTACAGTGGTGAAGGTTGTATGACTCTGTGACTATATTAAAAATTATTAAATTGTATACTTTTAAAAAGTGAATTGTGAATTATATCTAAATGAAGTTATTTTTTAAGCTCTAAGTTAAATATAATAAAGTTAAAGTAGAGACAAAAATAAGGTTTTCTGTGTATTTCATCATAGTGTTTGATCTCTGGTACTACAAAGAATGGATAAAAGAATGGTTGGTGAGTTTATAAATGGGGGTGAACTAAAATTATTTCTTATAGCTCCTAGTCAGCTGGCAATTAAAGATCACTTTCCTAAGAGGTTAACTCCTTCCCCTACTCTCAGCTTTTCAAACTGGCAATTATTGACTACGGATTTAATTTTATCACTCTGAAGCTTCCAATTATGTAGGAAACTCAGTTCCAAAGTGGTTGTTACCACTGAAGTACCTGCAATTTATTCCTATTAATTCCTTTCTTTAGCAGAAACCACCCTAATAAGGCTGAAACCAACCAAATTAACAGTCTGGGTACACGGCTCTCCATTCTTCTTTTTTGCTTTACAGGTTCCCAGGTCAAGAGCTTCACCCATAATTAAGACCTTTTGAGGATGATCAATAGATAAGCACACCTGTAGAAAAGAAGTGAATGGGAGTTAAAAGCAGAACAAGATATGATCTTTTATCAGCTACAGTGGATAAAAGCAGGGTTGGTGTGAGTTAAGAAGGCTTTATCAGTCTAAAGGAATTTGAAGCCAGTGCCCTATAAAACAGTATCAGGAATGGGAGGTGTAGAAGACATTTAATTCTCTACCCAATACCTATCCTCTCCTCTGTGTCTTTGCTCTAAGGATCTTGATTTTACTTAGATTGGCAAATGCTGAGCACTAGGTAAATGGATGGATCCTGTTCCCAGTTTTCCCAGCACTCTTATACTTAGCAATGGTCATGGTGACTAATATTCTGACCAATGAGACTAAAGCTGGGAAGCTTTTGCTTTACTGATAAAAGCAGATAGAGGAGGCTGGCTCACTTCCTTCCTGAATGGAGGGGTGATGGAGAGAGCTTCAAAGCCATCTCGTGACCAAGAAGAAAAGGCTGAGAGACTCACAGACACTGGTGCTGTTATCACTACATTGCCTATGTCTGGAATATTTTTTTAATGTGAGAAAAACAAACCCCACTGTTTACTGTTAAAAGGAAACTATAGTGAAGTTTTTTTTGTTACTTGCAGCCAAACACATTGGAACCAACACATGAAGATTTGTTGCCATTTTCTGGTAAAAACAAGGACAGAAAAAACTGTGTCTCTCACTTCTTCTGATATTAATAATAATCTGAATAATAACCTGTCTACCATAAAGTGTAGCTTCTTGCTGGGTCAGATGAAGAAATGGTATGTCCTATTCACACTGTATTTAGATTTACAATTTACTAGAGAATCAGTGAGTAGTACAAAAACTGCTGATGCTTAAGAAAAACTCACTTCGATTCTAAGCTGCAGCTATGGCTGTACTAATCAATGCAGAAAGGTCCCCTCAACTATAAAACTATAAAACTTTGCCTTCTGGATGCACCATGCAAATTTATGGAGAGCTAAGGATACATGAACATTAGAGTTCAAAAACTCCAGGAACCTTGGAACTAATTTGAAAAGATACAATGAAAGATGATGATACAAAACATGGGATGAACAAGCAAAAAACCAGATTAATGGCAGTATAATAATATAAAAGCATGATTTACCTGGACGTAAACTAATACAAATATTTTTGACTAAGTTGCAAAGGCCCTCCCACCAATAATCATGGAAACAGATTCTCACCTCCTCTGAACCATCCTTGGGCTTCATGGGGTTAGCATTGAGCAGCCCTATGACAGTACCCTGCTCAGTCTTCCAGAGTTCTTTGTGAACTTCTCCAAACAAGAACAACGACACATACTGTGTCAGGTCACGAAGATCATTCAGTCGCCAGATGCTAAATGTTTTCCCCTGGAACAAATATTTATTAATTTTAATGATTTTTTAAATGATGTGTTACACTGTCTCCATTTACAGTTTGTAGAAAAATATATACACAATCCACCCTGAATATATAATCACCAGAATGTCTATAAATGAATCCTTTCTCTAGGCTTTAGTACTATCCTTCTCATTTTAGAGATGCAGGTGAAGTTAAGGCAAGCCAGAGCAGACTTGTCAGTGGAGTCTTTAATTCTCAGGTCTAAGTAGCAAAGGGATAGCACTGCCTCTCCAATCTCTCTCACTCACACACACACACTCATGTGTGAACAACAGTTAAAAGGACAGGAGGAAGCTGTAGCACTACCACTAATATAAATTTATTATTTATCACTGATTAATGATAGTATTAATATTAATAAGTTTACAGCTTGATGCTTCTAAGTCTTTGCTTAGCTTAGAAAAAAAAGCATCACTAAAGAAAACTAGTTGCATTTAACTGTAAAATTTCATAAGTATTACTAAATATCTGAAGAAATGCAACTCAACTATGAAAACTCTCCATGCTTACAGATTAAAAAAAATAGACCAATAATATTATTTCTAAAAGATTTTATGTATTTATTTTTTTAGAGAGAGGGGAAGGGAGGGACAAAGAGAGGGAGAGAAACATCAATGTGTGGTTGCCTCTCACGTGCCTCCTACTGGGGACCTGGCCCACAACCCAGGCACGTGCCCTGACTGGGAATGAAACCAGTGACCCTTTGGTTTGCAGGCCAGCACTCAATGCACTGAGTCACACCAGCCAGGGCAGATGAATAATATTAAATCAAGCTATTTCTCAGAAAATCCCAGAGTAGGTATAATGATAGTTTATGGTGAGCTATTGCCTGGACTCAGGTATAATTATTCTTCCATGGATTTGTACAATTCCTTTCTTGGAAGAGTTCATATAAAATCCCACACCTATTATATCAAATGTCATTATACCCAGTTGTGATGCAATTAAAAACTTAAATAAAAACCAGACTTAATCACATTTACCTACACAGAACAGGGCTAGAATCTAAAACTCAACTTCTGGTGTCAGAACTCACTAAAAAAAACCCCTAAAGTTGGCAATATCTAAATTAGAGAATAAAATTAGTATTAAGCACGACTAATCATTGTAATTAGGCAATAGGAGGGACTTTGCACATAATTAAAAGCCATTTCCTTCATTTTACAGATAAGGAAATGGAGGTGCTTAAAGAAAGATTAAGGGTCACCCTCAGGCTACATAGCTAGTTAAAGGAAGAATGAGGGTTAGAACCCAGGTTTTCTGACTTGACAGGACACAAAATAATTTTGTTATGCCTCAGCCAACTGCAATTTTAAAATTTGTTAGATCTTTTATAATATCCATCGTATTAAATGTGCCACACTGTGGGGGCAGAGATCAGCAATGTGAGAACTTCTGCAATTGACACTTTACATCTAGTAAGTTCTCAAAGGATCTGAAAAGTCAGCCTCTTTGATTACCCGCTCCTGTCCTCCACAAAAGGGAGTATAGTATCGCAAGGACAACTACATGTCAACAAAACAATGACAAATGAAACCCAGTTAAGAATTATGTGGGAGCCCTGGCTGGTGTTGCTCAGTGTATTGAGTGACTGCCTGTGAACTGAAAGTTTGCTGGTTCAATTCCCAGTCTAGGGCATGTGCCTGGGTTGTAGGCCAGGTCCCCAGTGGGGGGACACATGAGAGGCAACCACACATTGATGTTTCTCGCCCTCTCTTCCCTACTCTCTAAAAGTAAACAAATCAAATCTTATTTTTAAAAAAAGGAATTATATGGGCAATGAGAAACCCAAGTAATATATACACCCAGATCTTCTTTAAGTGGAGCATTCTTTACACATAAACCCTAGGATACCAACTCAATAATGGTGTGGCAACTTGAGAACCTACTAACAATTATTTCAAAATGAAATGCTGATGGGCACTGGTTAACAAATCAAGAGCATGAGTCCCCACTGCCAGTTTGTGAAGAAGCAGCTAAGAAAGCAATAAAATGGCTCACACTGTTAAAGCTCTGCGGAGTGACTTTCTTCAATATAACCCCAAATGTCACCCAGTCTATTTCTTCCAGCTTCTCGCTTGCCATCTTTTCCTTGAGCTGAGACAGTCTAATCAGTTTTCGACCGGTCATTTTCTTGTTCATTTCTGTGGAGGACACTCGAGGCCGTCTGGGTCAAGAAACCAGCAATTGCAATTAGGGGACTATTAGTCTAAAAAAAGATTACTTGGCACTGTAATGAGATGGTTAAGAGTTGTTATAGGCAGAAATCTCTAACGAAACTGTTTTCAGGAAGGTTTAGTTACATAGTATGGGCTAGGTGGACATTTTTACAGCAGATTAAAAAATAATGTAATTTTTAAGGTTAAATTTGTGCTTTCTTGAATATAAATTGGGGCTTATATAGAAAGCAAAAAGATTATAAACTCTCTGAGTTCTTATCAATTGTATAAGTTATAATATCATTTTAAAAGAACATCTTTTGACTTTAATACAATACCATGAATGGATATAAATAAATATTTAAATCTCATCAGTTCTACAAGAATTGTATTGGTTCCATTTCTAATTAGATTTTGTTAAGCCAACATTTTCACATACTAAACAAAGGCCTTGACTCTAGCTTCAATTAACGTAACCTTGTTCCTAATGACTGGCCAAAACCTGGTAGATTTGCAAATCGTTTTTCTCTAATAGAATATTAACATCTGTTCCATGTCTGATACACATTAAAGGACAAGATAAAGTACAAATAAACATGACTTTGATGCTTTCAGAAGTCTTCTGGAATACAAAGTCCTAGAGCTAACTCTGAACAATGAAAAACGTTAACAGGTTATCATCTGATCATTAGTCTTCAGAATGTTTTTAGGCTGAGGTTCAGGTACTCAAACAATTCTGCAATTCCCAAAATTTGTAGGCCGCTACTGGGAAGCTTTGACTGAGTAGTTTCAACTTGGTCTACGTCCATTCAATTCACACGTGGTACACTTGCATCAGCAATATCTTTCATTATCCAAGGGGAGTGCCAACTGGGAGCTGGTTAGGAGCAGGCAGTATCCCCTCAGGAAGGACATGCTCACCTTGAAAAAGAATACTGGAGCTCCTCAGAGAGCTTTTATCGCATTCTACCCCTCAGACTCTGTCTCAAACATAATTAAGACACTGAATTTTTTTTATTTTGGAGTACTGAATCTTCACAATGCATGTTGATTGCATTAGTCTATGTACAGTACCATACTGTAGAATGGCGGCTACTTGTTTTCCCCCTGCTTAGTAATATATAATTCAAGAGCTTGGCGGTTTTAGTTTAGATTGACAAGGTTTAAGTGTTCTAGAGGGCATGCACTTGGCTACTCACGTGGACTGTACTACAAGCAATTTGGTCTCAGAGTAAAGATTACGGATCTGCCCTGGGCTTCAAGAGAAGTAATGGCGGAGACGCAGTGGAGAATTTTTAAAAGTATAGGCTTTTCACTGAACTGATCCTGGAATTTATTCCTATGTTAACTGAGTATCTTATTTTTTCCACATAACAGATGCAAAGAATATAAATTTGCCTTAAAAGTTATTAAGAAAAAAAGAATACAGTTATTTTTCTTAACATCAATTACAAGATACTATTATCCTGGTTACATTGTATATAGCCTTATGTATTTAAAAAGTCTCTATTACTGTTTCTATCTGTCAGTTTCTGATTAAATATACTATCTGCCAATTTCATATGTCTATATAAATGTGTGTGCATGTATATACACACATGCACACATACATAAACAAACAAAAGTCTTCCTTAAATATTTCAGATGCAAATGTACTGAGTCACACCCCGTGCTCAATGCCAAGTTTCGTCAAGTTCCACAGCTACTGGTGTTGTGTGGATCTGCTGTACTATATCTGAAAGGCTCACCCTTAGGAAGGAGGAAAAGGCTTCTGGAGGGGCTGTCAATTACTGACCTGAGCCTCAGGCCGGAGAAAGCTTCCATGGAGACCGGCTCTGTTGTCTCCCCAGAACTCTTGGGGGTCCCTGCACAGGAATCTCTAGTCATCCCACTAGGTTTGTTACCAGGAGTCATTTGGAGTGGTTGAGAGGGTGCACTTGTCATCCATGAAAGTGAGCTTTTGGGTTCTAGAAAATTAAAATAAAAATTAAGTGGGGAAAAATACCACACTGATAACTATAACACTGTTCATGGAATTGTTGCTTTTTTCATCAACACATGCAATAACCAAATCTTGAGAGAACAAAGGAAGCCCACGAGATCATTTCTGTATTACACAAAGTCTCTGCAGTATAGTCTCAAAGTTTTCTGTAGTGATGAAAATGTTTTATACCAGTGCTGTCCAGTATGGTAGCCACTAATCACTTATAACTGACTATTGCTTCTAATGAAATGAATGTCTTATTTAATGTAATCTAACTTAAATAGCCACTATTCTCTATTATTGTGCCGTATGCCAATGCTACTCAAAATGGCCTTTTGAATACACATAGTAAAAAAAAAATGCTACTTACTCTAAGCTATGTTATCTACAGACAATTTTCCATCTTTTAAAGGATAATCACTTTGGGCAAATTGGTGCAAATACGACAAAATCAATAGAGCTTACAAATTTTTTCCATTTCATTTTGTTACATGTGTGTGCTGAAATAGGCTTTTATTTGAGTACTATTCTAGACTACTGAAAGAGAAACCTTTTCTAAAGAATAGACCTGGTTTAATACAAGCTAACTTCAAAAAAAAAAAAACCAGACCACTTTATAAGGGACTCTGTGCCACAGTCTCACAAGCCAGAAGATTAAACTTCTATATTCCTAGCATGAGAATGCAATCCAGTGTTTATATTTACTACAGTTCAAATCAACCAGACTAGAATTTTAAAAATTTCAACCCATTAAGTATTTAGTAAATACCTTCTAAATAATAAATTTCTAAGCACTGTGAGATGTAGAGAAATTTCCAGTACACAATATAGTATATGGTTTCCATTCCCAAGAAAGTTACTTTTCTTAGCGGGCAGACCAGCATTCTCTCTCTCTCACACACATGCACATTCACACACACACACGCGCGCGCGCGCACGCGACAGTTCCAAAATATATTTTCAACAGCGTCAGAGAAGTGAGAAACCAGGCAGCCTTGACTACTACACCTGCAGGTGAAACTTTCGGTGTCCGAGCCACCCGCTTGGTCTTTGGTAGAGTAGGGACATCAAGTTCTGCAGAAAAGCATGTTGACTCCTGAATTCTCTGAACTTTCTTCTCCTTAAGAGGGGGACGAGGAGACTTATCTAAGGATTAAAAGTAAAAAAAAAATTAGTCAAGAAAGTTTAGAAAGGGGTTCAAAAGCTGTTTTACAAGGAATTGGATGCAGAAATAATTTCTTAGTAACAGAAATGCATACTATTTCTAGAATTACAGTCTGATTACCAGGGGGTTTATGTGGACGGGCTGGACTTGCAGGCTGTTTAATTGTAGCCATTTTTAGCTGTTCTTGTAAGGATTTCATTTGCTCTTGCAACTTCTTTAATTCATCTATGGAGAAAAAATATTGATTTAAGAACCAAACCAGAAGAAATATAATGCATGATTAAAGTGCTAGAATTATATTTGGTGTCCACCCATCTTCACCCAAAACCTCCAGACACACAATATAGTCACATATGGAGAACTCACAATTAAATTTTGCACTTCAAAGGGGTTCCTTTAGAGAAATAAACTTATTTCTGGTAATCAATCCTCCAGTACCAAGGCTAATTATGAATCTGTACTGCTGACAGATATATTTATCTACAGCAAGTTTTTAGGAATCAAGACATAACTACACTTAATTCACAAACTGAGTATCATAATCAATAAAAAAAAGGCTTGATTCTATAACAGAAGAAATTGCCAACCACTGTATTTTATTATAATTTAAAAATATAAGATGCCAGAAATAAGAAAAAGGCCCTCCTCAAAGCTTCCCTTCAGAATGGTGTCCAGTTCAAACAATGTGCAGTAGCTTTTATAGTCTTGAGTCTAGCTCCATATGCATATAAATTCCAGAGTTACATATACGTTTTTTGTAATAAGGATGAAAAGTATTAGCGTCACCCTGTGAAGGATCAGTTACAACAGGCTGCCTCTGATACATATATATGTCACCGGATGTCTGTCACTTTGCATGCTGAAATGCTGGTCTTAAATGTTTGATGTACTAACCCAGACAACTTTTTTTAAACAAAGTCATTTATCTCCAGCCTTGACTGAAGAGCTATCTTAACGAAAACATCAGACTCATCTTGATCTAGTCCAGAGAAAGCAAGTGGTGAGGGCACCTTGCAACTCTTGATTAGTTTTCCCTTGAGTGGAAGCAGGAGCAGGGAGGGGTCTGTTTTTAGCTGGATGCAATGTAGGAGCTTCTTCTTCGTCGGATAAGTCCCCCATATCTCCAAAGAGAGTAGCCAAATTTTCCTTTTGGTCTTGAGTCTTTTCCACTTCATCATCATCAACCTCCTCTGTGTAAGATTCACCATCACCATCAGCATCAAAGAGCTCATCAAATGCGTCAGGTTTACCATCATCCTGGGTCACGTAGTGGCTCTCTTGTAAATCACAATCCAAGGCTGACTCGTTCTCCTCTAGCAATGCGGTCAGCAGAGACAATTCATCTTCCTCCGCTAGGGGAAAGAGAGAAAATAAGCCTACCTGAGAAAAACTGCTAATGACAAGCATAGTTAATTAAAACATTCATTATTAGCCCTGGCTGGTGTGGCTCTGTGGATTGAGTGCTGGCCTGTAAACCGAAAGGTCACTGGTTCAGTTCACAGCCAGGGCACATGCCTGGGTTGAGGACTATGTTCCTAGTTGGGGGCATGGAAGACAAAGATATTTTTCTCATACATCAACGTTTCCCTCCCTCCCCTCCCCTCTCCCTAAAAATAAATAAATAAAATCTTTAAAAAATTCAACATTAATATAGCAATTAAAGTAACTCTACCAATTCACTAATTTGCCTGGTATAATTATTGGTCTTATCTCTACCTTCTCTTTCCAAGTCTTCTGAAGGGCTCTGGGCTAAGAAGGGGCCAATATCTGCTTAATAACTATACTGGGCCAGTCACTGGGCTGGATCTTTTTCCCTACGCCATATCAGCTAAAGAGATAACTTCCTGCATACTGACTTCAACCCACAAAGAATAACTGGAAAACACACTAAACATATATTTAGGACCTAGATGTATATATTCCCCCAGTTTTAATTGTCTGAGCAATTTTTTAAAAATATAGAAAGGTAAAGGCAATTACATTAGCATTTACCTCATATAGCATAAAAAGTACTCATATCCTATCACCCAGAATTAGCCACCACTAACATTTTGTCAGGTCTGTTTTTGGCCATTACATTAGTTTTTTAAAAAACGTAAAAAAAACCTTACCATGCCAAATGTTTCTTTGTTTGGTTGGTTTAAAGAGAGGGGAAAGGAGGGAGAAAACAAGGAAAGAAACATCGATATGCAAGAGAAACATCAATTGGTTGCCTCTGGTACATCCCCATCTGGGGTCCTGGCCCACAACTGAGGCATGTGCCCTGCCCAGGAATCAAACCAGTGACCTTTCAGTTCACAGGCCAACGCTCAGTCCACTGAGCCACACCAGCCATGGCTATCACACCACATCTTACCCCAAACTCCTTACACTACCTTCAGGCCCCACTGCAATGGCTATCATAATTTTGGTATATCATTCTAGTCCATTTTTCATGCTTTTAGCATAAATATATAGGTATGCATAATTAATACACAGTGTTTGGCTGTTTCAAAACTATTTACATAGATTATTTCACACTGTATGTATTACTCAGTATTCTGTTTTTATTCAACATTACATGTAAGTAAGATTGTCCAAATCAAAACATATACTTCAGTTTAGTATTGCTGTTCAGCTTTCAATTGCTGTTTAGTAGTTCATGGTAAGACTGTATCACATTTTATTAACCCACTTTCCAATAAAGAACATATAGACTATTTCCAATTTTTTTACACTATAAACTATACCATGATCATGTATACACCTTCTTGTACATGTGTGAAAGTTTCTTGGAAACACGTATCAGAAGTGAAATCCCTGGACTGTTGTCAGGTACGCACCTTCTTCAGCTTCACTAGATACTGCCAAGTTGTTCCCACAGTGGTTGTACTCTTACCAGCACTGTATTCGAGTACCATTTCTCTCTACGACCTCACCAGTACTTGATAGGTCACCTAAGATGTTTCGCCAATCTGCTGGATGATTCAGAAAGGCAGCTCATGGTGTTGACCTGTGTTCCCAGGCTTACTAGTGAGATAAAGAATTGCTATGTATATTGGCCAATGGATTTCTTCTGTTTTGATTTGTCTATTTTCTTTGCTCACTTTCCCCCCTTTCGGGCATTATTCCTTCATGAAATCAGAGGCATTTAAAACAAAAATGTTAAAGATAGGTGATCCATCCCCACTGGAAAGACAGGAGCCGAAGTCCAGACAGGGTAGAGGCCTGTCCAGGGTCACATGATTAAACAGGGCAGCATGGGAGCCTGGGTTAGGATGGAGAGCTTAGATCAGGAAACCAGTGTCCTTTCCATTACTCTTCACTGCCATACTAGATGGGAAAGAGCCAACAGCCAAACGTAAGGTCTAGCAACTGATGATGGGTCTAAGGCTTAAAGTCAGAAGTTGCATATCAATTAGTTTTGAATGCTTAGTCCACAAAGACTGTAAGACTGCAGGGTACAGCAAGAGAAAAGAGACAATCTGGCTCCCCATGCTCCAGGTGAGATGGCCACGTGCTGGCAAGGGGGCCAAGAGGCCCTCCTCTCTCATTCCCAGCTGCTACAGAGAACATCCCCCCAAGAAGAGGCCTTAGCCCACACCACTGGGAGTCTCATGTGAAAAATGTTACCTTGTGGCTCCATACTCTTGGCCTTGTCCATCTTCTTTCATGAAAGCAGTTGGGTTAATCCATGATGCCTAGCATTCCAGCTTCTGTCGGTCACCACCCAAAATCATCTGCTTTCCCATGGATATCCTTACAAACTCATGGGAATTCTATCTGGATTCTATCTGGAACTAGAATCTACTACCATCAAGTTTTCCCATATCCTCAGTGGCTGTTACAACAGAAATATGGCTGCCCCTTGAGTGGAATTTGTTTAATTGCTCATATCTCGTATTCTAAGTGCTAGACTAGTGGTCAGGACGCACCAGGCATGCAATCAACATTTGGTAATCAACTCGAGAGCCCTGATTATCTTCTTGCTTATCACTGTCACTCTGGAGCTATTAACCTTTCTTCAAGAACACAGAACATGACAACAGATTTTTTTCATCAAGAACCCCTCCTGGTTGCTGTCATCTACTGAAGTCCTTTGGGATGCCTTCCTCTTTCCCCTCCATCTTTCTTAAGAATTCCAATCCACTGACCCTCCTATGACATTTTCACCATCCCTCATTCCCCATTCCTCCACTTCACTTTGGATCCATGTTCTATCATTATAATCACTGCCTTCTAACAACTCTTCACTCCCTTGTTTTTCTCTCGTGACCTCAGGTTCCTTGACAAAATCATTTCTTTTTTATAGTGGCATGTGTTATTAAATAAATACAAAATAAAATTTAAAATATATACAAAGTGATACAAAAAGTACACCTCATGTCTAATTCAGTTCTAAAGGTCTGTGGCAACCTAATAATAAAAGTGTCATATTCCAAGAGATTTTTTCTATATTCATCTTATAGCCCATTTTATCATTCAGAATTCACTGTGAATATTTTCTATTAATTTGTCTTTATAAAAATTTAAAAATTTTATGAATGTTGACCTTGACCAAAAACATTGACCCTGATTAAATGCAACACACTTCCACCTCCATGCCTGCACCCCAACTGGTGAACTCTCCCTGGAGAAAGACCACCATGCTGATCGGTGTAACTTTAAATATATACCAGCCAAGAACAAGCAGGCATTCAACAGTGCTCAAAAATTTTACACTTCCCTAAGACGTTTGTTTTCCTATTCTATAACCACTTCAGTCTCTTCTCAAACCTGATAACTCTCCTCCCTTTTTACTCTTAGCTGATGATCTTGTTCCACGTTTAAAAAAGGGAAAGAATCAGATTTCATCATCTTTTACTACTAAACCTGAATATAGAGTCTCTGTTTTTCCTCCTATGACAATGGATAAAGTGTCTAGTCCTATTTATGGCCAGCTGGTTCTTCCATTTATTAACTGGATGCATGCCTCTCAGTTCCCTAAGGATGTCAGCTGATAATCACCAGCTCTCTCTTCCCCACATCACCAATTCTGCCATATTCTGGAGCATTTCTCTCAGCATACAAACTCAACCCAGTGTCTCCTATCCTACTATCCACCAGATATTTTCCTACTTATTTATCTTGCTCTCCTTACTAGAAGGTAAGCAGGAATGTTGTTCAACACTAACCAGCACCAGGAAACATTTGATTTCATCTATACTGGATCAAATTGTGAGGCCATACCAACCAATGAGATTTTATTAGGTACAACGATTTTTTAGAGAACACATACTCATTCACCACATATTTTCATAGCAAAAAGTTAAATTTTCAATTACATAAAGTGCACTGTAGGTAATTTGATGACTTTAGGAGATAGGAAACTATCATTATACTAAAGGTGCAATCAATTTCACATAATATCACAGTGTGATGAATTTCAACATTTAATTCTATTCTTTAAGGCAATGTATAATAATCTTGGATTTTTAAAAATACAGTTTCAGGAAATGAACTCAATTACACAACCAGAAAAATAATTTGTTAGTATCTCTTCCACAGTCAGCACAATAAATTTTATGCTTCTCCCTGGCTAAGCTCTGCTAATTATAGCATATTTCTTTAAAAAGTAAATGCTTTGCACTCATTCCTGCAAAATGAACAAAACTACAAAAATTTAAGCCCTGGTTGGTGTGGCTCAGGGGTTGAGTGTCAGCCTGCAAATCAAAGGGTTGACTGTTCAATTCCCAGTCAGGGCACATGCCTGGGTTGTGGGCCAGGTCCCCAGTAGGGGGTGAACGAAAGGCAACCACAGATTGATGCTTCTTTCCCTCTCTTCCTCCCTTCCTCTCTGTAAAAAAATAAATAAAGTCTTTTTTAAAAATAAAAAAAATTTAAGACAGAGTTAGACTAAAACGTCTTTAACAGATGTCAATATAAAAAGTAAAGTCTGAAGTCAGACTGCCTGGGTTCAAATCCCTGCTCTGAGTTACACCTATGACAAGTTTCTAAACATTGTTTTTTCTGTCTATAAAATACAGAAATGGGTTAAGGACACATGGGTTAAGGCTCAATGGGTTAAGTTAGTTTGTATAATTAAGGACCTTAGAGCAGTGTTCAGCACATTGTAAGTACATGTCAGCTATCATTATTATGAAAGAAAATTAGTGTTGCCAGGAGGAGAAAACCCACCTGATTAGTAAGAAATAATGTTCCGTGACTAAAGTGAACTGCTCATACAATACTTGAGGATAGGGCAGCTATTTTCACTATTTTGTAAGTAGGGCAGACAATAAATCCATAGACAAAAGGATAATTTTTTAAAAGCAAAAGAAAACTGAGAATGCTGCCAGGACTTACCATCCATGATGTCTAGAGAACAGGTAACAGTGACTTCGAAGAAGGATCAGGTGTCCAGGAGACAGCAGCAATGCAGAATCCTAGCTGTGTGAAATTATGATTCGAGAAGTCACCCTCAATTCTCTTGCTCACACTGTATAACCCAAAACCCAGAATCCTACAAATCCTAGGGGATCTAACCATAGCCTTTATCCAGATGCCAACCATTTCTCACTCCTACCACCAATACCACCTTCCTCCTAGGATGGAAGCAGTCTACTTTTTATGTTTTGCAAACTTTGGTTATAGAAACACAGGTAAGGTATAGAGGAGTTAATATGATACTAGGTTACATGAATGAGACAAACTGTAAACAGTATTACTTTTGCATCTATTGGGGAAATCTGCTGGATTATAGGTTCTTTGAGGGTCTAGAGGGAGAAAACTGTCTTGTTCATTTCTATAAGCAACCATCCTTTGGGCCCAAACCCATGCCCTTTCCTCACCCTCATACCTAGGGCCATCTGACAAGTGCTATGGGTTCTATCCCACACTATTGATCAAAACTTTCACTTCTCCCCAACTTTACCACCAAAAGCCTAGTCCAAGCCACTGCCAATCTTTTGCCCTGACTACTGGCTACATTAGCTTCCTGTATTGGTTTCCTCTGTCTATTCTCTGTACAACAGCTATAGTAATCTTTTCTTTCCTTAGTAATCTTTTAGGAACACAAATCCAATAGCAGTAGTCCTTTAATTAAAAATTCTTTAATGATCTTCCATTGTCTTTAGAACAAAATTTACAAAGCCTATGACGCAATGGATACTCTGTCTCTTGCCTACTTCTATTTTTTTTTATTTTTTCTGTGAGTCCACTCCACCTACCTCTACTCACCCCCCAAACACCTTCCAGTAAGACTAGATTGCATTCTGCCCTGGATGGTGTGACTTAGTTGGTTGGGAATCGGCCTGCAAACTGAAAGTTCTCTGGTCCAATTTCGGTCAGGGCACATGCCTGGGTTCAGAGTTTGGTCCAGGGCTGGGGTGAGTATGGGAGGAAACCGATCGAAGTGTTCTCTCTCAAATTGATGTTTCTCTCCCTCCCTTTCCCCTCTAAAATAAAAAAAGTTTAAAAGGAGAAAAGACTAGACTGCATTCAACTTCTTGAACACACTGAGTGTTTTCAAGCATCAGGCTATTTGGAAAGTTCTCCCCCAGCTCCTTCTCACGTTTCAGTCTCCGCTTAACTATCATTTTTCTAAGACTTTCCAGACCAACCTCTCAATTCATCCTTTTCATTACAATACTGCACTATTGTGCACTTGTCTGTCATCCTCTTTAGACTGTTAAGAGTCACAGATCCTAAGTAGTGAGTGTGTGGAGCCCCGTACATGGTGCGTAGTCATTATTATCAATCAAACCATGACTTCTAAAAAATGAGTAAGAGAAGTCCAAAAGGCATGAACCTGGTAAGCGTTTTCAAGGTATTTTTAAAAAGAAAAAACTGGTCCTTTAAATAAAGTAAATGGCACATGACGATACATTTCCTAAGTGCCCCGCAACCTCGCAGCCGCCAAACCTCCCAGGAGCGCCCGCCCGGCGCTCCACAAGGCCGCCCCGCTTCCCTTCTGGCCCACTCGATTGCCCCCAAACTCCGCGCCTCTCGCTCCCAGAGCTCTCTAACCTCTCCCGCAGACGCGCGTGACGGATCGTCTTTCCCGCCGCCCGAGGACCATTCACATACCCAGCCACCACCAGCCTCTTACGCAGCGGCGCTCCCTTTCCTTTCCACTGCCAGACCCGCCAAAATTCCAACTTGACTCCACCCCCCCGTTTCTGACGTTTGACGCACGCCGGCTTTGAATCGCGCTGATTGGCTGTATCAAAGCTCTGGGGGGAAGAGACCTGAGGAGGTGAAAAAAAAAAAAAAGGGATCCTTGCGTAAGCAAGCTGATTGGCTCTCGTGACCAGACGCCCTCTTTATTGGGGGCAAGGGGACTTCCGGTAGGTTAAATCCTAGGCACCTTTAAGGTAAAGAAAAGTGTTCTGGTGCCCTCCAGCGCCACGAAAGTTAAGTATTATTAACACATGGTATTTTTACATGAGATCAAAACTCAATTCCTAACACTCTCCGGGACTATCATCCATTCCTGAGCCTCAGGTATAAAGGGTGTTGGACAAGGATGTAATCCATATTCCAGAAATTTACGTCTGATTTGGTAGATGTGATACATGCGTAGTTTACGTAAGACGGGACTGCCAAAGAGCACCCATCTTGCTGGAATGGAGGCAAAAAAGGTGACGAGCGAGAAACATTAAAATAAAAAGGTAAAATGAATTGTGTGGACTATGATGAACTCTGGGTCAGGAACTTTCTTCCATAGCAATCAAAAGACCATCTTTGAGCAGGTGGGGGAGGAAGGTAGATCGTGTAGAGAAAAAGTGGCTACATGCTTAGATTCTGGAGTTAAGAACATTGGCTTTGCTGCAAGGTTTTTAACTGACGCATACTAACTGCAACTTTGGGTAAATTCTCAAGTGCCTCAATTTATCTGCAAAACGGATAGTAATAGGCAGTGTGAGAATTAAGAAAACCTTCAAAACACACGGACTGTGTCCAGCACATGTAAACACTACATGTGTATTAACTTATATTCTTACTACGTTATAAGGCATTGCTTAGGGATATAAGCTAATAAAGATAGGTTCTCAGGAACTGAACGTGCCAGAAATTGGAGGCAGAGCAGCACATTGGAAAATTGTGGTAGTCCCAGAATATGAGCTGAAGGGAAGGGACAAACAGGAAACATGAAGGAAAACCTGTCTGCTTTGGTAACTGACTAAAGGAAAGTTACCTTTGGCAGGAAAAGGAGAGGACAGTGGCCATTCTGGCAATAATTGGGAGACACTGGCAGAATTATAGAAATGGGCTAGAAATCTAAAGGAGGAACTTGTTTTGGACAAAAGCCATGATGATTTCAGGCTGAGAGGATGCTGTGGAAATTTGGCGGATATCTTTAGATTTGTGTTTGAAGCCAGGGGGTCATATCAGGGCTTCAAACACAAATCTAGTTAATCTGGGATGTAGTTTAGTTAATAGAGTTGAGTTCTCTAAAGTAGAGATAGTAGAAGCAGAATATCTGAGTCTGTTTACCTGGTTAATGTACCAGAGGCTGAAATCAATTCTTCCATCTTAGGCCCAGCAGGAGTCAATGCCACTCAAAATCAGAACAGACCTTCTATTGAGAGAAAGCCAGTTTCCACAGTCCCACCCTACCCCACACCTCCCTGTAGAAATCTCTTTATATCTGTCTTCACATCTTCCAAGCTACACAGTACAGAACTCTCTAGAATTGCATCCCAAACTTGAACTTGTCCAACAAACTGAACAAAGACCCTGTACTGAGAAAAATGTTATCCTTGTTCAGAGGTAACCACCCACTTAGAGATGAATGGCCCTACTAACGTCTTTGCTGCCCAAATAAATGTCTTGCTTTTCAACCAGTCTAGAGGGTTCTATAAACAACAGAGTATGTTCCTCCACCTACTTACCTCAACTGATGTTTTCCACAGGGAAGTCAATTTTCCCCTTTGCCCTCCTCCACCTAGTACCCCACATTCCCTCCAGCAATCTCCCCTTAGATCATATCCATAGGTCATTGGCTACTCCATTTCCTATACCAGTCTTAACATCCCCCTAAGTATTTTGTACCTACCCATTTGTACTTCTTAACTCCTGCACCTTTCCCCTCATTCTTCTCCTTTACCTACTAACTGATAACATTTCAAATGATCTCCATATCTATGATTCTGGTTCTGTTTTTCTTGTTTGCTTAGTTCATTTCTTAGATTCACTCATTGACAGTTGTGAATTTATTGCCATTTTAATGTTCATAGTTTTGATATTCTTTTCTTAAATAAGTCCCTTTAATATTTTGTATAATAATGGCCTGGTGATGATGAACTCCTTTAGCTTTACCTTGGCTGGGAAGCACTTAATGTGCCCTTAAATTCTAAATGATAGCTTTGCTGGATAGGCTAGGTTGTAGGTCCTTGCTTTTCATCACTTCAAATATTTCTTGCCAGTCCTTTCTGGCCTGTAAAGTTTCTTTTGAGAAATCAGCTGACAGTCTTATGGAAACTCCTTTGTAGGTAACTGTCTACTTTTTTCTTGCTGCTTTTAAGTTTCTTTCTTTATCTTTTATAGGAGACTGTTCTGTGTTGCATAGGCCCAGACAGGACCCATGCCCATGGATAGGTTCTCCCATGAGGAATCAGGCCAGCATTGTACCTAGACTGCTGTGAAAGTTGCTTTTGGTAAAACTCCCTCACCCTGAATTGAGACAGAAAGCATTTACTGCATATCTTTAAATTAACTTCCTAAAATCTATGCTAAACCTTTCAAGGATGAGTCTAACCAGTTCAACCACTTTTCCCTTTGCATTTGCAAATATCATTCTTCTGTGATGTGATCAGTGGCATCCTCTCCTTTGTTTTCTGTAAAAGGTAACCACCTAAAGTGAACCTGCACATAGTAAATGAGGACCATCATGTAATGTGCCCAGAAAAGCAATAAAAGCTTGTCAAGGCAAGGGTCGAGGCGCTCTCCCCTTGAGAGAGTGGCCATCCCGCCCCTTTTCCTTCACAGGACTCCGTAGTCTGTGTGAATTTGTTGTGTCCCATCTTCAATGCAGCAGATACTGCTTGCTGGTGACTGCATCAATCTTTAACCTTTGGCATTTGAATTAAGATGTGCCTTGGTATGGTTCTATTTGGCTCCATCTTGTTTGGGACTCTCTGTGCTTCCCAGACTTGTATGTCTATTTCCTGCATCAAATTACAAAAGGTTTCTTTCATTATTTTTTCAAGTAGGTTTCCAACTTCTTGCTCTTTCTCTTCTCCTTCTGGCACACCTATGATTCAATTGTTGGTATGTTTGAATATGTCCCAGAGGCTCCTTAGCCTATCCTTGTTATTTTTTTATTCTTTTTTTCTTCTTACTTTTTTGACTGAGTATTTTTTCTTCCTTATATTCCAAATCATTGATTTGATTCTCAGCTTCATCCACGATACTGTTGATTGCCTGTGAACTTTTATTTCACTTAGTGTAACCTTCATTTCTGTCTGGATCTTTTTAATACTATTAATTATCCAATGAGTCCCTTGAGCATCCTAATAACCAGTGTTTTCAACTTTGCATCTGTTAGATTGCTTATCTCCATTTTGTTTAGTTCTTTTTTCTGAAGTTTTGTTCTGTTGTTTCATTTGGGCCATATTTCTTTGTCTCCTCATTTTGGCAGCCTCCCTGTGTTTGTTTCTAAGTATTTGGTAATGCTGTGTAGGCTCTCTGTCTTAGTAGCATGGCCTATTGTAGAAAAGTGCATCTATAAGTTGGAGGGAGCAGAGCCTTAGGTAATTGTCTGGGCGAAGCAACCCATGTGAACCAATCTCCAATATGGTGTTGCCATTCTGTGCAGGGGTGGCTCAGGAAGGGGACAGAACCAGTGTCTTGCCTCTGGACTTTTGTCCAAGAGGAAGCTGTCCCCCAACACTTGCCCTGATGCCAGACACTTCAATTCCTTCTTGTATGTCACTGGCACCTTTCCAGCTGCTGCCCCAGTGCTGGAGCCCAGAAAGGATGAGTCTGCATAAGTCCAGGTCCATTGTGTGCCCTTTAAGAGGAGACTTCTGAGAATCCTGCAGTTTATTCTTCCACCTCAACCCCCATTGGTTTTATAGCCAAAAGTTATAGGGACTTATCTTCCTGGCACTAGAACCCTGGGATGGGTGGTTTGGTATTGGGCTGGGATACCTCACTCCCGAGGTATCCCTCCCAATTTTAATCTACCACTCATGAGTGAGGGACTGCCCATTTCACATCTCTGTGCATCTCAGTGTCTCTACCCTTCCTACCTGTCAGGAAGAATGTAACTTTTTTAATGCCGTAGTTATCGGACTTCCGTGCAGTTTGATTTTTTGATGATTCTGGGTGACAGTTTCATAGTCTAGTTGTAATTTTTGCTTTGGTTGCACAACTAGGTTGTGCTGTGTTTACTGAAGCCTCCATCTTGACTGGAAGTCTAAATTTAACATTTCATTAAAGGTTATTCCAAATTAGCCCTTTCATTGTGGGTCAAATGAAAGTGTTAGCCGATCTTCAGAAGAATCTTGATTTTATGAGGCACACAGTACATTTTATGTGTGTTCATATTACATTACTTATAGTTCAAAGTTATTTTGCTCATTTTAAAGAAAATAATAGGCTTTTTTTTAGAGCAATTAGAGGATTACAGAAAATTGAGTGGGATGAACAGAGAGTTCCCATATAGACCCTTTGACATATAATTTTCTCTATTGTTAACATCTTGCATTGATGTGGGACACTTATTATGATTGATGAGCCAATATTGATACATTATTAACTAAAGTTCCTACTTGACATTAGGGTTCACTCTATATGTAATACATTCATGCAGAATAATTTCACTACCCAAAAAATCCTTTGTGTTTTTACCTATTCATTCCATCCGTGCCCCCACCCCAACTCCTGTCAAGCCCTAGTCCTTTTACTATCTTCATAGTTTTGCCTTTTCCAGAATCATACAGTATTTGGCATTTTCAGATTAGCTTCCTTCATTAGCAATATGCATTTAAGTTTCCTCCTTAAACTATGTATTTTCATAGTTTGATAGCTCATTCCTTTTTAGCACTGAATAATATTCCATCACCTGGCTGTACCACAGTTTGTTTATCCATTTTCCTATTGAAAGGCA